GAGAGAGATTTACAGGATGACCAGAAGCACTTTTTTGAGACAGAGTTCACTCTGTTGCCCAGGCTAGAGTGAGTGCCATGGCATCAGCCTAGCTCACAGCAACCTCCAACTCCTGCGGCTCAGCGATCCTCCTGCCTCAGCCTCCCGAGTAGCTGGGACTACAGGCATGTGCCACTGGCCCGGCTAATATTTTTTCTATATATTTTTAATTGCCAATTAAATTTTTCTATTTTAGTAAAACGGGGTCTCGCTCTTGCTCAGGCTGGTTTCAAACTCCTGACCTTGAGCATCCTCCGGCCTCGACCTCCCAGAGTGCTAGGATTACAGGCGTGAGCCACCGCGCCGGCCAGTAAATATGTTAAAAGGAACGTATGAATCCTTCACTCACTATAAGCCCCGGAACTTGTACAAATCCTGATCTTGTTGCTCAGGCTGGGGACCCAGACTCCTGATTCTATTGCCCACAAACTGCCCATTTTCGCCAGCCTATTAAATCGGCTTCTGATCCCGCTGGTCTACCCTGCCCTACCGTGGGTGACTTCCCAATAACCCATGCCACTTGCTTGTTAGTCCAAAGGCACCTACCTCTCAGCTCCCCACCCCATGGTCGACCCACGCAGTCTCAGTAAAACCTTAAGATCATCGAGAGACATCGATCCACCTGCAGGTAGGTGTGATCTGCAAACCGCGTAGACGAGGAAAAGCAAGAGGCAGAAGGCGCCCAGGTGGGGCTGTTCTTCCTTGCTGGAGACAGACAGACATCACAATGTGCGACAGAAGGCCAGGCGCGGTGGCTCACGCCTGTCATCCTGGCACTCTGGGAGGCCGAGGCGGGAGGATCACTCAAGGTCAGGAGTTCGAGACCAGGCTGAGCAAGAGCGAGACCCCGTCTCTACTAAAAATAGAAACAAATTAATTGGCCAACTAATATACGTAGAAAAATCAGCGGGCATGTGGCGCAGGCTGTAGTCCCAGCTACTGGGGAGGCTGAGGCAGGAGGATCGCTTGAGCCCAGGAGTTTGAGGTTGCTGTGAGCTAGGCTGACGCCACGGCACTCACTCTAGCCTGGGCAACAGAGTGAGACCCTGTTCTAAAAAAAAAAAATAATAATAATAAATAAATAAAATAATAAAAATAAAATAAAATAAAAGTGCGACAGAGACGGAGTGGCCTGGGGCCAGGGGAAAGCTCTCTGTGTTCTGGGCTGCACTCCTGCCAAAGCCGTTGTCTGACTCACGCTGAAAGCTGATCTTGGCACGATTTCAAGACGGCGTCTTAGCGCTTGGCTCACGAGGAGTGAGTAAAGGGCTGGAGACGCGGAGTGAGACACTCCTAGCGGGCTCCAATCTCGGAGGTTCTGCACCCTCGACTAGTGAGTGACCCAGTTCCCTCTCTGGCCTCGGTTTCTGGTCAGCAAATGCTCTTTGGTTTCAATAACGGCAGACGTTTACCACTGGTTTTCATGTTCGGGCCCTGTTCCCAGTGCTTGATTGATATTAACTTATTTATTATTTTCTGAGACAGAGTCTCACTCTGTTGCCCGGGCTAGAGTGAGTGCCGTGGCATCAGCCTACCTACAGCAACCTCAATTCCTGGCTCAAGCGATCCTCCTGCCTCAGCCTCCGAGTAGCTGGGACTACAGCATGCACCACCATGCCCGGCTAATTTTTCTATATATTATTAGTTGGCCATTAATTTCTTTTTATTTATAGTAGAGATGGGGGTCTCGCTCTTGCTCAGGCTAGTCTCGAACTCGTGACCTTGAGCGATCCTCCAGTCTCGGCCTCCCAGAGTGCTAGGATTATAGGCATGAGCCACCACACCCAGCCTGATAGTAACTTATTAATCTTTCCAATAACCCTGTAAGATAGGCATGACTGTGTCTTATTGCTGTACACATTTTTAAAAAGAAGAAAATAGTGATGCAGAGGCCAGGTAGGATAGCTTACACCTGTAATCCTAGCACTTTGGGAGGCCAAGGCAGGAGGATCACTGGAGGCCAGGAGTTCAAGACCAGCGTGAGCAAAGTAGTGAGACCTCTGTCTCTGCAAAAATAGAAAAATTAGCCAGTTGTTGTGGTGTGCACTTGTAGTCCCAGTTACTCAGGAGGCTGAGGCAGGAGGATAGCTGGAGCCCAGGAGTTTGAGGTTGCAGTGAGCTGTGGTCATGCCACTGCACTGTAGCCCACCACACTGTGTTTCAAAAATAAACCTGAAAAAACAGAAAACCAGAGGTGCAGTGAGCCCAAGGAATTTTCTCAAGATCAAAAAACTAATCAGTGCTGGGACTTGGATTTATTTTTTCTGTTTTTTTGAGACAGAGTCTCGCTTCATTGCCCAGGCTAGAGTGAGTGCCGTGGCGTCAGCCTTGCTCACAGCAACCTCCAACTCCTGGGCTCCAGCGATCCTCCTGCCTCAGCCTCCCAAGTAGCTCGGACTACAGGCATGCACCACCATGCCTGGCTAATTTTTTTCTATATATTTTTAGTTGCCCAGCTAATTTCTTTCTATTTTTAGTAGAGATAGGGGGTTTCGGTCTTGCTCAGGCTGGTCTCGAACTCCTGACCTTGAGCGATCCTCCCACCTCGGCCTCCCAGAGTGCTAGTATGACAGACGTGAGCCACCGCACCCGGCAACCCCTTTGTATGTTTTAATCCCAACTTCTGCCTTTGCTGTAGCCCCTGTCACCGTGGTGGTGCTGACTTGTGACTTTCTCGGGGACGTGCCTGTCTGAGTCATGGCAAAAGAATGCGGCCGGGGGCTGCAGGCCGTAGCAGCTGCTGGCGCTGAACAGAAACTACTCAGGTGGGACAGGGACAGCCATAACTGTACTAATTTCTTCACTTTCGAGATAAGGAATCTGCCCTGAAACCTCGAGCCTCTTGATTCCGAACCTTCTGGAACCCACTCGTTGCCTGCGGAGTCCCACCCTTTGCTCAAGTCCCTGGAATCACTCCACACCTGCTCCAAGTTCACCGGGCTTGGTGGCCACCCTCCCCACGATCCTTTGTCTGCCCATTCTGCAAACCATAACTCCAGCCCCAGAAGGGTGGAGGTTTCCACAGTGTCCTGGGTGGGGTGAGGGGACCCTATTTGGACTGTCCCCAGGCCCCAGTGGACTGTCATTTAAGCAGAACAGAGGTCTCAAGTCTAGGGGACCAGCTAGCAGCATGGTCAGAAAGCAGCGGGGGTGCCTGTAATCCCAGCACTCTGGGAGGCCGAGGCGGGCAGATCGCTCAAGGTCAGGAGTTCGAGACCAGCCTGAGCAAGAGCGAGAACCTGCCTCTACCATAAATAGGAAGAGCTTAATTGGCCAACTAAAAATATACAGAAAAAAAATTAGCTCGGGATGGTGGCGCATGCCTGTAGTCCCAGCTACTTGGGAGGCTGAGGCAGGAAGATCGCTTGAGCCCAGGAGTTTGAGGTCGCTGTGAGTGAGGCTGACGCCAGGGCAACAGAGTAAGACCCTGTCTCAAAAGAAAAATAAAAAAAAAAGAAATAATCCAAAGGTTCTCTGGGAGGCTGCTTGGCCATAATCAAAGGTCACGGTTGCAGCTGCATTTGGACTCCAGCTGACCGTCCCGCCACTTAGGTGCCGTGACCTGGGCCACTTGACCTCCATACACCTCAGTGATCTCATCTCTGAAATGGGGGTGAGGAACACTCTGAGGGCCAAGTGAGAGGCACGGGGGCCCCTCGGTTGAGCCGGGTGGGTGGCGAGTGCTCTGTGTCCCTCACCGGCAGTGCTGGCATGACTGTCCCCAAGCTCTTCCAAGCCCAGGGTGACAGAAAATACACCGGGTGCCCTCCGTGGTCCTCTGGTCCCAGTGGCTTGGGCGTGATGGGGCCAGGGGACCCGATCCCACGAAGGGCTGGCGTCTGCGGGCTCGCTGATGTCTGGGCGGCCGACACGGGTCGCGCCGTGTGGTTCTCATGTCACCGGGCTTGTCTGGACGCCTGCGGGCGTCCTCGCCACGACCCCAGCGCAGGGGAAGGAAGTCGTGAAGGCGATCCCAAGCCAGCTGCACGTGCAGAGGCAGCTGGGGGTGCAAAGCCAGAAAAAGTCGCCTGTCCCCTGCCCCTCCCGGTGGCCGTCTCCTCGCTCCCCCGCCCGGGCCCCAGCCTCTGGCACGCGCTGGCCTCCCAGGACTCCGTGCTGTCTGTCTGCTCCTTCTTCCCCGAGGAGCAGGAAGGCGGGAGAGGGATTGCTTGGCAGGCGGACAAAAGCCATTAGCAGCGTCTGGTCTGGCGGAGGTGGCGGCTGCGCTGGGGGCGGCCCCAGGCTCTGCTGGGCCCGGGTGGGCGGGCTGTCCACCAGCCACCCCTTGACAGTTGCACCCTGCGTCCCCTCCAATTTGGGCGACCGGGTCGTCCTGCAGCAAAGATGGGTGAAGCATGGCGGGGCGCGGTGGCTCACGCCTGTCATCCCAGCACTCTGGGAGGCCGAGGTGGGCAGATTGCTCGAGGTCCGGAGTTCGAGACTAGCCTGAGCAAGAGCGAGACCCCATCTCTACTATAAATAGAAAGAAATTAGCTGGACAACTAAAAATATCTATGGAAAAAATGAGCCGGGCATGGTGGCGCATGCCTGTAGTCCCAGCTACTCGGGAGGCTGAGGCAGGAGGATCGCTTGAGCCCAGGAGTTGGAGGTTGCTGTGAGCTAGGCTGACGCCACGGCACTCACTCTAGCCTGGGCAACGGAGTGAGACTGTCTCAAAAAAAAAAAAAAATATTCCTAATGAGTGCTGCAAAAATGGCTGTAGGCCTATTAAAGTTACCTTTTCAACTTAAAGATAGTTTTAGAAAGAAATACAAATTGGCTTTCATCTCGCAAACAATCTTTTTTTTTTTTTTTACTTCATTTTCTTAGTTTTCTTTGTCGTTCATGAAAAGGAAACCATGCTAGTCTAGTTGTAAACTAGACATTGTAAACTTCTTTGTCGTTCATAAAAAGGAAACCGTACTGGTCTAGTTGCAAACTAGACAATGAGGAAACACTTGAGGCTTCTGCTGCTGTATGTTTTTTTGTTGACGTTGTTGTTGTCGTCACCCTGGTAACTGAATATTGTTTAATGTGTTGTGAGACATCGTAGAGTTTATCTCAAGCTGTTTAAGATGGTAATGTGCACATGCGAATAGACACTTATCTATACTATGGGTAAGTTTTCTTTAGCCTATAATAGATGTTCATAAAAACAAGTGAGGGGGAAAAATATATATATATATATATTTCGAATATCAGCCCTGGTTTAAACAGACTTGCGAACTCAGCCAAGCAGTACTTGGCCCCTTAAGCCAAATGTCACTTGGTGCCCCTCCGGGACGGGGTCCCCGACGACGGGAGTCCTTAGAACCCTAGCCGCTCCCCTCCAGGGCCCTTGCTCCCACACTGGCCTGGTCTGGAGTTCGTCACAGAATCAGGGGACGTTAGAGTCCTGAGAAGGCCTTAGGGACGTTCTAATCCAACAGAAGGGAAAACTGAGCACAGAGAGGCAGAGCAACCTGCCCGAGGCTGCCAAGCTGGTCAATGGGACCAGTATCTGTGTCTCTTTATCCCCCGATCTCTGTCACCCCAATGTTATCTCTCTGTTGTTTTTGTTTTTTATAACCTGAGTCCTGAGATTCAAATGAAAACTAGAGGCTGTACCGGTTTGAATTGCACTTGGCGACATTCACTTAAACTGAAAGGACGTTTATTTATTCCTATTTACTTACAGGAAGGCTGGAAGAGTGGTGACTTCGTGTTTGTGTTTTCACTCACTCAGAGCTATCAACAAAGAACCAGGCTTCTGCATTGCCACCAACGTGGCTTTCTATCCTCATGGTCACAAGATGGTTGCTGAAGCTCCAGGCATTGCCTCTTCACTTCAGCATTCCGAGCAGAAAAGAATGGGGAGAAACAAAATCATATTTCCTTTTACCTAGCTAAAAGGTACTTTCCAAAAGTTTCTTCCCCTTATATTTCAGTGGCCACTTCTGTGGCAAGGGTGGCTGGGAGAGAAAATATCTAGCAAAGGGAAATGAGATAGTTATGGTTGGCTTAGACCGATCATGATCCTAACAAGAGTTGGTTAGGAAGAAAGGATGGTGGGGAAAGGCGATGGTTTCTAGAGACAGCCTACGATGTCTGCCACAGAGGCTGCTCAGCACAGTGGAGGGAATGCAAGCCTGGGGACTGAAAAGACCTGGGTTCAAGCCCTCGCTCTACCATTTCCCAGCTGGGTGGCTGAGGCTAAGTTCCTTACCCTCCCTAGGACTTATTTTTCTTAACTCCAAAATGCAAGTGATAGGAATGACACATGCATTGCCTGACACATAGCAGGGGCTCAGAAAATCGTAGCCATTATTATTACTACTAATAACCCAAGACCTTTCTTGTAGCTTTGAGTATTCCCATCTTCACCGAAGTCACTGAGGTAGGGAGTACACAGAAATTCCTGTCTCGGCCAGAGTAAACAGACTCTCAGAAACATCCTTCCCGATTTTCTAACTCCAAAATGCAAGTCGATCGGAATACCACATGCATTGCCTGACACATAGCAGGGGCTCAGACAAATCCGTAGCATTATTTTTACCTAATAAACCACCAACGACTTTCTGCTAGCTCTGAGTATTCCCATCTTCACCGAAGTCACCTGAGTAGGGCAGTACACAAAATTCTGTCTCGGTCAGAGAAACAGCACTCTCAGAAACATTTTTCTTCATTTTTTGAGACAGGTTCACTCTGTTGCCAGCTAAGTGAGTGCCGATGCGTCAGCCTACGCTTCACAACAACCTCCAAACTTCCTGCTCAGCAGACTCTCCTGCCTCAGCCTCCAGTAGCTGGAACAGCATGCGCACATGCCAGTCATTTTTTAATATATTAGTTGGCAATAATTCTCTTATTTTTATAGAACGGGTCGTCGCTAGTTCTCAGCGCTGGCTTTCGAACCTCTGACCCGAGCAATCCAGCCCGCCTCGCTCCAGAGTGCTAGATTACACGTGAGCCAACAACGCCCGCCCTCCTCAGAAACATTTTTTAAGATCACATGGGAAGTAGCTGGAACTCAGACCCGGAGGTACAAATTCCCACATACCTCATTCTCCACCTCCCCATGATTTTTTATTCTTTTGGACAGGTTCACCTGTGTGCCTGCTAGATGTCATGGCAATCAGCCTCGCCACGAGCAACCAAACTCCTGGCTCTAAGCCATCCTCCTGCCTCAGCCTCCCGACTAGCTGACTCACAGGTTCATGCGCCACCATCGCCCGCTAGTTTTTTTCTATATACTTCCTTAGTTGGCCAGTTCATTTCTTTCACTTTTATAAGATCGGTCTCCGCTCTTGCTCAGGCTGGTCTTGAAATCCTGACCTTGAGGTGACACGCGCCCTTGGCCTCCAGAGTGCTAGGATACAGGCGCGAGCCACCTGCCCGCCCGGATCGTTCGGAGTCTTCATTCTCCAGCGCACGTGGTCCCGTTGGAACTAAGCATCATAGAAATACCTTCTGACTCATTTTCCAAGGCTTCGCAGCAGGGACCAGAGACACACTAATACGTGA